GCTGGCCAGCCAGGACTCCATCAAATTGTGGGAGAGTTTTAATCTGCCAACTGACACAATAGTACCCACACAAATATTGAAACAAGGCAGCAGACTTGTTGCTCGTTATGCACAGATGAATTATTCAAGTGGAAGATTTGCTTTTGTGATGCAATCGGATGGAGATCTTGTAGCTTTAATCACAAGGTTCCCACCGAATTCACTGAACGACAATTACTGGGCAACCAATACCCTAGGTAGTGGCTTCCAGGTTATCTTTAACCAGTCTGGCTACATCTACCTAGAAGCTAAGAATGGAAGCATACTCAGCTATATAGCATCGGAGGGATTTTCATCTAGGGACTATTACCAACGAGCAATCCTTGAATATGATGGGGTCTTCAGATATTATGTCTATCCAAAGAATAAGAGCGTTACTGGTGGAGGGACCCTGGGCTGGTCATTTCTGTCCTACGTACCAGAAAATATCTGTAGGAACATCCTACTATATGCTGGTGTTGGAGCTTGTGGGTACAACAGCTACTGTATTCTAGGAAATGATCAGAGACCTAAATGCCTCTGCCCACCTGGATACTCATACTCAAATCCATATAATGACATGAATGGATGTAAACGGGCTTTTGTCTCACAAGAGTGTGATGGTCCTGAAGGCCAAGATGCAGATCTTTTTGATTTCGAGGTTATGATCAACACAGATTGGCCTTGGTCAGATTACGAACGTTTTGAATTGGTTACTGAGGATTGGTGCAGAAAGTCCTGCTTGACCGATTGCTATTGTGCTGTTGCATTCTTTAGAAATGGTACATGTTCGAAGAAGAAATTTCCTCTCACGAATGGAAGATTTGATACTGACCTTGGAGGAAAGTCACTGGTCAAAATAAGGATAGGCAATTCTACATCAACATCTACTACCGAGGGCTCAAGCAAGGGTTCAAAGGAGAAGAATAAGTCAACTTTGATTCTTGTTCTGGCTATGCTCTTAGGTTTCTCAGCATTTTTTATCTTTGTTCTGTTGATTGCTACTCTGTGGCTTGTTTCCATCTTAAGATACAGGAAAACAAGCATGCTTCAACCTTTCAGAGCAACCCAAGGCATGAGTCTACAAAGCTTCACCTATAAGGAGCTTGAGGAAGCTACTAATAAATTTGAGGAAGAACTTGGCAAGGGCGCTTGTTCAACAGTTTACAAAGGCATTTTAGATATTGGTAATAAGACTTTCATTGCCGTTAAAAGATTGGACAAGATGGAGAAAGACCGCAATGAGAAGGAATTTCAAGCAGAAATGAGTGCAATTGGGAAGACAAACCACAAGAATCTCGTGCGGCTACTAGGATTCTGCAATGAGGGACAACATCGGCTTTTGGTGTATGAATACATGAGCAATGGATCTTTAGCATCTTATCTTTTCGGGAATCCAAGGCCCAGTTGGTATAGAAGAGCTGGAATTGCTTTTGGAACTGCAAGAGGGATTGCTTATTTGCATGAAGAATGTAGCAACCAGATAATACACTGCGACATTAAGCCTCAAAATATCCTGCTAGATGACTCCTTGACAGCAAGAATTTCAGACTTTGGATTATCAAAACTTTTGAAGACAGACCAGACACGAACTGTTACAGAAGTAAGGGGAACAAGAGGATATGTTGCCCCTGAATGGTTGATTGGAAAGAAGCCTGTAACTGTCAAGGTTGATGTCTACAGCTTTGGAATTCTACTGCTAGAGCTCATTTGTTGTAGAAGGAAAGTTGAGCAAGATTTAGAGGATGAAAAACAAAGGGTATTGGCTGATTGGGCATATGATTGCTATGAAGAAGGGAAACTATATCTGCTAGTTCAGGAGGATGAAGAGGCAATGGAGGACATTAAGAGGGTAGAGAAGTTTGTAATGATTGCCATCTGGTGCATTCAAGATGACCCATCGCTGAGACCCACTATGAAGACAGTTTCACAGATGCTTGAAGGAACCATTGAAGTTCCTCATCCTCCAGTCAATCCCCACTCATCAGTTTAATTTGTACCCACCAAAGCCCCATGATCTGTTAATATTGAAGAAGTGTACTCAATATTGTTGGCTTTTCGGATTCATGGGGTGATCTCTGTTGATCTTGTGAGGCTTCTTCTAGATACTCTAGTTACATGTTATGGGAAGAAATGTGTTAAGGGCTGTGTTTCACCTAAATTGTTGAGCTCATGGATGTTTACGTTTGACTGCATTATTCAATCAAAATTACACCTAGATTGTTGAACTCGTGTATGTTTACGTTTGAACATTAATTTCTTTACTGTAAATGATTAAGATTTATTATTAATTTTTTAATCAAAAATGATTATTTTTTAAAGAATAAAGTAAAAAGTAGATAATTTTGACATTTAGTCTTGTAATATTAATGGCTAGATACCAACATATCATATGATCAACCTTTAAATACATAAGAAAAATTTTTCCTTTCCACACCTAATGGCTAAAAGTGAATTAGTTTGTTCAAGTAAAAAAAAAGGATTAATAGGGCATTGTTCTAATGGAGATTATTGTAAATTAAGCACCAAAAGTAACTAATTATAGAAT